AAAAAAAAAAGTCACAACAACAAAAGACGAGAATAAATCACACCAAGTCTTTAATAAAAATTACTAAGGGTATGTTTGGTATGACATATAAGCTAGCTTATAGCTTATTTGATTAGCTTATAAGCTTCCTGTATTAAATAAGCCCTGTTTGGTAGGACGAGCTTATTTAAAAAGCTCGAGCTTATTTGATAAGCTTGTTTAGGTAGCGTTTCAAAATAAGCTCGTTGAATTTTTTATTTCAGCTAGCTTATAAGCTACTTTTACCAAACACTTTTATCATATAAGCTAGCTTATAAGCTATAAGTCATAAGCTATAAGCTATAAGCTAGCTTATCACATATAAGCTATCAGCTAGCTTATCAGCTATCAGCTAGCTTATCAGTTAGTTTTACCAAACACACCCTAAGAAAGCAAGAGTATTAAATTAAACACAGAAATGATTATCATATAAATAAGCTAATGTGGTTAGGTACAAGCGGCTCCAGCTGCTGTTTGGCGTAAACCTTTGCTATTTCAGCCAATTTTATTTGTTCAGAATCAAGTGGATAGCCCTCCTCGTGTAGCTGACTTCGGGTATCAACAAAGATTTCCTTAAGCGCAACACAGTTCTCCAACAAGTAGTTGACTAATTCAACGTCACTCGGGCAACCATAATAACCTAAAAACCGAATAACTTTCAGGTGCTGGTGCAGTGGCAAGTGCTTCAATCCCTTCTGAATTTCGTTGTTTGACCTTTCAACATTAAACCACATTTGCTGCCAATACAAGTTAAAAATAAAATAAGTTCATATACTAAGTTGACACCTATAAATAATATAAGACAACAAATACAGGTAGTAAAGCCACTCAATGATGACGAGATTGCAGGGATAATATTTACAAAGACCAACCTGTATCTCAAATTCTTGCAGTTTGGGAGATGCACTGATAAAATTAGCTAGGCCAAGAAGACTCGAGTCCACACCACATAAACCTTCAATGATGACCAACTTCTTAAGTTTAGGCATCATGGGGAATTTGATCTTCCATAGAAGCTCCTGCAATAACAAATAATGAAGTTCAAAATAATTGATTTGACAATCATTTGAGTATTATATGACCTACCAAATTTAACCACGTGATGATTGTCAAATCAACAATAGGGCTCCATTATCAAGTTTCATATTTACTTTACAATCACTAAGCTCCATAAGCGAAAATTAAAACCAATGCAGAACGACACCTTACCCTCCTACGACAAATGTCCAAGGTGAGAATCTCCAATTGGGAAAGACAGCAATGCAATGTAGAAATTAATCTCTCTGAAGAAGACCGCCAAAGGTCCGCAAAGGTCACATAAACACTAGTAAGCATTGGAACGTCCTCAAGCAAGAGGCCTTCTACTTTATAAAGTACAAGTGAAGTTAGTTTCGGAGCAGAAATTCTTAAGGATTTTAAACAAGTGCACCTCCATATCTCCAAATGCTTTAATACAAGGGATGGCCCACAAACTTCAAGACGTGTCAAACACTTGGAGGAACGGAGAATTAACTGCTCGAGCAATGGGCAGCCACGTAAGAGAAACTCAATAGTTTCACCAGAGACTTGAATACTGCCCAAGTGCAACATTTTTATGGATTTACAGTTGATATTTCCGCATAACTCTTGAGGAAACACGTACGATTCAGCTGCGGCCTGACCACAATCACCATCTGAAAGGTTCAACTCCAACTTTTCAGTGTGCCTCTCAAAAGCAAATTTGAGCCACTTCGTAATTGACTTTCTTGCAGATTTGACTAAACTAAAGCGTATTCTTAATTCTTTCACGGTGGACCCTCGGTGTGATTGGAGAACCGAATCTACCCACTTTACATACTTTTCCCTCTCAACACTAGCACCACGAAATTCTGGATCCCAGACGATCTTCTCCATCGAGCTATGGTCCTCAAAGTTGAGATGTGAGGTGTAACTCCACAGGTTTCTCCAACGAGATGAAAGAACACTAATTCGCCCAGCTTCTTTTAATGGGAGGAAAGATAGGATAACAAGGAGAATGTCATCGGGTAATCGACTTATAAGGTTATCAGCATGGCATCTCTCAACACACTGTCAAGCAAACACACGATAACCCATTATGAATACAATAATCAACAACAAGTTGCACAAGTGATTTTTCAAGAATAATATAGAATACTTTATATACTTTTTACATATGTTATATAATATTTTAGGAGCTATTAATACTATGACAATAAGATTTGTCACATTTATAGAGAATTTCCCGATGAAAACCATTACATACATACTATCTGTAAATGTAAATAGAAAAAATGCAACATTCAATTAAATCTTGAATTTTATTTTTCATTTTTGTCTTTAACCACACTTAGATATAAAATCTCATTTTATTTGTTATATATATTTCTTTTCCATTAAATATCAATTTGTATTTATAAAATTGATAAATTAAGCTTATGTGTGCATAAAGCAATGAAATCTTTTGTATTAACAATATCAAAAATAATTAAATGTTTCAGTGAAGAAAAAAGGAAAATAGAAAATGAGCCAAAAAAAATTACCTCTTGTACATCTTGCGAGCCCTTTTCGGGTGCAAAAGAGATTTATCATCTCCATCTTTGAATTATAAATAGTTTCCTTTCCGCTGCAAAAAAAGGTTTATTGTCTCCATCTTTGATATCTTTAAATTATAAATTGTCCGATAAATTCGGTGACACCGAAAGAAAGATATAAAAACCCGGTGATCTCCGCTTTTATCCAAAGAAACAATCAAAGGCAATTGAAACACGTTAAAAGAAAAAGGAAAAGCAAAGATTGGTTTGAGGACATCAAGAAACTACCCACGAGAGGGAAGGGTAGGGTATGCGGCTGTGCTCTCTCCCCCTCTATTTAATAAACGGAAGACCTATGCGTTCCCCTTTTTTTTTTTTTTTTTAATTTGTCTTTATTTTTTTTATTTGTCTTTATTGGTAGTTTTCTCGTCATTCTTCATCTTAATCTATACTATATATATAATTGCTAATTACTCATTATATAAAATTTAATTATTAAATAAAATTTAATAAATTTTTGCATGGCACTTTTCTAACACAATAATCGTTACAATTTTATTATTATTATTATTATTATTATTATTATTATTATTATTATTATTATTATTATTATTAACTCACCCTAACTCATTAATAATAAAATATTTCCTTCCATTTTTTTTTTTTGGGTTATCTAAGACAAACTTTATATTAATTGAGTAATATTTATATTTTTTTATTGTATCATCTAATAGTTATTATTACAATCAATAATTATATTTCACACTAAATGATAAATAAAAGTTACGTAAACATAAAAAATTATATTTTAAATTTTTTTTGTTCAAGTTATTTATTCTAAAATCAATATTATATTTTTTTATTCCATTAAGAGATTATTTTTTAAATTATTATTTTTTTAACTAAATAATTAGTCGTGGTCCCTCAAAATTATAAAAATTATATCATTTATTATATTTTATGCAATTAATATAGTGATTTATACAATTAAATCGCCGTGAAGAACAAAATTTTTCTATAATAGAGTACCTAGGGGTGAAAGCGGGGTGGATAATTTCCGCATCCGATCCGATCCGAATCCGCGTTACGAGGATATGGATTAAGGTTTTAGATATCCATGAGGATATGGATAATCCGCATCCGATTGTTGCGGATATGGAGGAGGATATGGTATTGGAAATATCCGGTGGATATGGATTATCCGACAATTTAAAGTGGATTATCCGACCTTTATAAGAGGATATCCGATTATTTTACATAGCCCTAAATAATATAATCCCGGTCCAACTAGCCCACACAAACCATATAAAATTACTCATCGGCAGACACCCTAAAAGCTAAGGATACGGCAGCTGGTTCCACAATCATCTCGCATGCAGGTCGCTGTCAGCGACATCTATTTGCATCTTCGTTCCCCGGCCGCCGCTACTCTCGTGCGTGCTACTGTTTTCTTCGACACAACAAGTCAGCACTAGGTATTGTATTGCATTTTACTATTTTTTTACCCAATCTTGTAATTGTTCTTCCAGTTCCGACTTTCTACAGCCAGCCTCACTCCAGGCCGGCACACCGCACATGTACGAATCGTTTTGTTGGTGAACGAATGAGTTATCTCCTAGAAGATCGATGACATCATCATGATCTTTCTAGCATCTATGGACCATCGTGGCTGTATGGATCTTTTGGGGCCTTGGTGTAGATCATGTATATGTCGATCCCCACTGGACAGTTGATACAAATCCCTACCCAGAAGAGATCTATATATCTGCATCACTGCATGCATGATGCATCTATATATAGCTCGGACCTATAACTATTAGGCTATGATTTTTTATAGCGGGTGTATTGCTTAATTATTAATGGTTTAGCTTAGCTAGTTGTGAACTAGCTATGTACTTGGCTCGTCTCGTTAGCTAAGTACCTAAGGAACTCAATGTTTTGTGTTATTTTTAATTTTTCTTGCAACTTTGCTTTATTAATTATTATTCGTCATAAAGAGTTAAGTGGAAGCATGTATTATCCGACTATATAAATCCGCATCCGATCCGCTTCCGCTCCGAATCCGTACCATCTCTGATATCCGAAACAATCCGCATCCACATCCGTATCCGCCCAATATCCGCTCCGCTCCAAATCCGCAAAAATAAAATGGATTAGGATGTGGGAAAGGCATTATCCGCACAGCACCGCACCGTTTTCATCCCTAAGAGTACCATTCAATTGAAAAAAGGATAATCCTCATTAAAAAAAAAAATGGTATACGGATATTCCCAAAGGTGGGTGAATGCCCACAAAGAATTCAAGGTGAGAATAGTTGCAAAGGAAAGGAAGGTCGGTATGTTTTACAAACATAATAATAGCTAGTCATTTTTAATAATTTCACAAAAACAAACTAAAATGCAAAGTCTTTCCTACAATCAGTGCCATCATACCGTCTTCTTCTCTTAAACAAATGTGGATCTACAATTGAAGTGTACCATCTTCTTTCTCATTTCGAGGAAAAGGTGCGGAAGGAAAAGGAAACAACGGAGGGATCCGAATCGGACCTAAATGGGAATGACATGAAAAGTCATGAAACGCATGTTTAGAGAATGCATTAACTTATTGTCTTGTAGAAAAAAATAAAAGAAAATATTCATCACTAAAGTAGTGCACAAAACATGTTACTATTTTTAAAAAATATAATTATTGCCAAACAACTCAAATAACAGTAGTAATGACTGTAGTGGGAACTTCCACTGTGCTTTCTCATATGTGCACACCCAATCTTGGGTAAACAAGCTGAGCTATCACACCGGGTACCATGTCCAACCTTATCCATACTCTTCCGAACAACGCTGGGACACCTTCCCGGTCGAGCAATATTACGAGTCTCACGAGTTCAACGAGAAGCTTGATCGTATCTATGCTTTTGCATCATCCCAGTTAGCTCAGGAAGAAGAGACCGCAACCCGGTGTGCCCCTCTGAATCAGTCACTTCCATACCACGATTCTTGGGACTATGATCAAACTTGGACATACCCCTACGAGTACCAGTGGGATTCTTGGCCTATTGAGCAGTCACATGAGTCTTTTGAGGACTCCTCAAAATACAATGCAAAGCTTGACCAGGTCTTCGCTTTTTCAGCCTCCCAAGCGGCTCGAATGAGCAATATTAAGTTCAGAATCGAGAACCTAGTAGAGCGCGTGCAAGTCTTGGAGGATCGAGTTACCAATGTCTCTCCCCAAGTCGATTATCCACACTTTATGCTTGATACTCAAGCCCGTATGATGAAGAAAATGTGTGAGGCAGAAGAAGAAGAGGATGAGCTCCACCGAGACGTTGATGATATTTCAAAGGAGAAAATCCATGGGCTTGATTCTCAAGTCACCCCTCCCTCTTTCAAGCTGGAGTATCCGTCTCCGAAGCCGTTGCACTGTGAAACAAAGTGGGAAGGATCTAGTTCGACTTGCTCCACAGATGAGCTTATACTTCTGGAGGTTGACAACATAGCTCGAGTGAGAAATGCTCTGTGTCTAGAGTTGGGAATTGCTCGTACCCACACATGTTTCATTCAGAACATAGCCACACGGATCTACTATGCCCGCCTTCTTGCCACATTGCCCATTCTGCCGCTTCTTGAAAATAAGAAGGCGTGGCACGACCGTCACTTTTTTTGGACCCCGGTTGATTTATACAGGTTTCGTCAAGCTAATGACGTTAAATAAGCGCTTTTTAGGAGGAAACCCAAGTTTCATTTATTGTTTTCTCATGTGTTTCGTTTATGCTTTTTATTTTTATTTTTTATTTTAATATGAGTTTGGAGTTTGTGGCTTTCTAGACAGGAACGAGCTGGCAGGTGATAGCATAGATTGAGCCAAATGCCCGGGTTGAGCATGAGATAACGATTCATATGGGAAGAATTACTCAACTTGATACATCTTCGGTTTGCACACCCTTTTTTTTTCATATGTGTTCTTATATGAGTTCTTGTGTGTTTGATTTCTAATTTTATCGCATGAGTTTGTGTGATTGTGCGTTCTTTCCTATGCTTTTTGGTCAAGCAATGAGGACATTGCTTTGTTTTAAGTGTGGGGGAGTAATCTCGTAATTATGCATACTTAGGCGTCATTTTAGAAGTGTGTTTGTGTCCATATAAAACTTAATGTTTGTTTCAAGCCAAAATGACTAAGTGATTCGTTTGGATTGTCATTTGGTTTCATTGATAATTCTTATGCTCGATGTACTTGATGAATTTGACGGTTTCCTTAAAATTAAATGAAGATTTGTTGACATTGGAAACCACATTTGTGTTCGAAAAATTGTTTTGTCCCTTGTTTATTCTCTAGTGGTGATCTTGAAACAATCTTGCCTTATGTTGT